CCCCCTTTTCCTCACTGCCGGGAGGAGAAACTTCAGAAAGGATTACATGAAAGGTAATGGCCCCATTGTTATTTTTAGTCCTTTTGGTGATATCCACATCCAGTCCCTTTGAAGTATACTGAAGGGAGGGCCATAAAGCCCCTTTGTTCACCCCCTTCCCTTCATCGTATGACAGAATCCAGAGAAGGCAGAAATGGGTTTTTCCATAGTTGATAACTAGAGATGAAATATAATTGGATTCTGACAACTCCTCGATTTACAATCACAATTGAGCCCAACATTTCTGTTGCTAAGCAAGACAGTTGTTGAGTTTTGCCCCACTTTGCCTTTCTTGCCATGATTAAGTGAATCACTGCAGTTGTTAATAACATAGTTGTAAAATGAATCTGGCTTCCCCATTGACTTTGCTTGTCAGAAGATCGCAAAAGGTGATCACGTGACCCTGGGGCATTGCGACTGTCATATATATGAGTCAGTTGCCAAGCTTCTGAATTTTGATCATGTGACCATGGGGGGATGCTGCAATGAATGTGTGAAAAATGGTAATAAGTCACTTTTTTCAATGCCCTTGTAACTTTTAATGGTCACTGAATGAACTTTGTAAGTTGAGAACTACCTGTATAGCATATGAGTAAACCACATGCAGGTAATCCTCATCTTATAACCATAGATGGAGCCTGTCCGTTATGGTCATTAAGTCACGAGTCATAAAGCAGGTCACATGACAAGACCCATTTTATGACCTTTTTTATGGCAGTTGGCAGTTTCATTCAGAGCAACCTCGAGCCACATTACAGCCCTGAGCAATCTGTGAATTTAGCCGTGGAGATTTATAAATAATAGCTTATACTTTAGCATATTGTATGAACCCAATCGACTTATTATTCAACAAACAATCATTCTAAGTGTATTTGGGGCCAGCAACGGGAGCACTTCTGCAATGCTCTTTATCCTCAGGAAAAAGCTTTTGCAAAAGAAAAAAAAAACCCAAACAGAAATAGCAATTAAAAAAAATTGCCAGAACTTATCAGGCTGTGTGCATATGACATCCTGAAGCATGTTTTGTTTTGATTAGACCTTTCACACTGGTGTTCCTAAATCAAGACGCAGGTAGCCCTCATCTTACAACGGTAATGGAGGCTGTTTATTACCGTCTTAGTAAAACAGGTTGGTCATATGACCGACTTGAGATTACAACTTTTGCGGCAGTTGCTAAGCAACCATGGTCATTAAGAGAAGCAATGATTTGCTATGAGCATGGTTTGGCTGAAAAGCAGAAGTGCCAGTTTTCGGCAAAGCCATTGTAAAATGCAGCCACGAGATGTGGCAAACGACTGTAAAAATGCAACCTAACCCCCGAGTGCCTGAAGTTCGGTTACATGACTGCAGGGGTGGATGGGTAACGACCATCAGAACTTCAAATCCTGGTCATAAGTGAAGGACTACCTGTTGATTTTTTTTCTCCTTTTGGAAGGAGGCTGTGCTTCTGCTTTGTTTGCATGGAGAGGACAACTTTATTTATTTATTTATTTATTTAATTTAATTTATATGCCGCCCTTCTCCCGACAGGGACTCAGGGCGGCACACAACATATTTAAAACCAGAACATATATACAATCCCCCCCTTAAAACCGAATTAAACCGAATTTTAATGTTGCGTCTTCCGAATATTTAAAACCCAATATAAAATCCACCCTAGGTCAGGTCCGCTTGCTGAAAGAGCCATGTCTTGAGGGCGCGACGGAAGGTAAGGAGATCCGGAATTATCCGGATCTCGGGGGGT